TTTGATCTGACAAAAAGTATATGTTATTGAAACTATATTAATTGGTAGATAAATCTTTAAAATAAAATTAATTATTCCAGAAATTTTAGCTGGATGCCAAAAAAATTATATATTTGATTGAAGTAATTATTATATATAATCACGATGATATTATACCATTGCTCATATATTCATAGAACTGGAGAAATCTGTGGTCGACGTAGTAAATCAGAAAGATGTTATATTCATCGTAATTCTCCAATACCTACTCCTTGTAGAGATTGTGGTATGCTAAATAGGTCTAAATATAATGCATGTGATGATCATGTAGGCAAATATAAAAGTAGAGAGAATTATCGCAGAAAAAAGCAAGATGAATTACGTGCACAAATTGATATGTTTGGGGATTTTCCTAACTTATTTGATTCTATGCACGAAGTATAATCATATACCTGGCATACATGTATATCGATTATTTTTTCCAGGACCTCTCTAAGTAATGCTATATCTTCTTTGATCCCTTCTATATTTTTGGTTATCCCGCCTTTTCGCAGTAACTGCTCGAAGCCAGAAAAATGTAGATAGCATATATTGTACTGATAACATATATATCTTTTATTCGAGAAACAAAGAGAAAAAAAGGGGCTATGGATTCCAAGACTTTTGATCGAACTCATGTCTTGTTCGCATTTATTTTTTGATAGAATTGCAATAACCACAACTCATTCAATTTTGGATATAGAGACATTGACTCAAGATAATTAATTTTTGATTTGAAAAAATAAGTAGGTTGATGTATAATTACAATCTACTTATCTAATATATTATCAATACAGCTATGACAACTGCCCGAAAAACCCGAAAACCCAAAACCAATAACTTCACCTCTATTTTAGATCAGTTCCTGAATAAATATAACCTATCAGCCGAATCAAACCCACTTCAATTACGTACTCATGCTGATGAGCTTGGTACTATGCTACCAGATTGGAAGGCTCGTAAAGATGTGAAAGAAGCTCTTCACCGGCGCCTATTCAAAGACAATCAAATAGAAGCTCTGGTTCCGAACAACAAAAAGAAAAGGCTTACTATCAAGGAAAGAGCTCAATATTGTGCAAAAACCGGAGATGTGTGGGATATTTACTTACATGCTTTAGACTTAGCTGAAATAAAAAATGACGCTGATAAGGAGATTGTAGCATCCAGTTCCCGTCTTTCGCAATTTCGTAAAGAGTTAGCAGAAGCTGGAGTTGATCCTAAGCAAATCAATATATATGCCAAATTACCAAATATTACTCAAGCTTCTAACAAAATTCAGAAGAGAAAACTTGAACAGGGATTAATCAGTCGACCTAAAACGCCTAAACACTTCTCCTTAGAAGAGGGGCTTAGAAGACTTCAAAATATTCGTACTACTGAGACCCCCACTCTACAAGATCTCGCAGATGTGATCATGATGTTGAGCATGAGACCTGCCGAAGCAACTACTCTCCGCATTATCTATTATGAGCCTGACGAATCAAATCCTTCGGAATGGTATAATCCCGATTACTCTTGGTATTGTACTGGGTATATTAAAAATAAAGGAGAAGCAAAAAACAATTCTGAACCTAGACCGTTTCTATCCATGGAAAAGAATCCAGAACGTGCAAGAGAATTGCTTACCTGGATTCAAAATGCAATAGCGATTGGAAAGTTGCGCGATCCTGTCTATAGTATTAATGGAAAACGTAGTACAGGTGTATTTAGTAAATTTTTAAAGCCATATGGTATTACAGCTAAAAGATTAAGAAAAATCGGAGGTAAACATGCTTCTAGAGTTCATGGTGGTCAAAATTCAACTTCACAACATCTCGCTTTCCTCAGCAGGATTGCAATGAGGCATAAGATGGATCGTCATGATTCTGGAATGTATTATGCCGAGGGTGATACTTCCGATTCTGATCTTGACTCAAATCTAGAGCCTGAACCCAAAACTCAAACTTTCACACCCAAGCCAATTAATGAGAATACTTCCGAAATTGAGGATATCTATGACTTATATGGGAGTATCTAGATTAGTTCGCTATAACCCAGCTTTGTCCCTTTGGGCCTGCTTTGCAATAAATCTATCTGGAAATAATCGGACCTATTAGATATTTTTTAAGTAAAGTTATATATGCAAACCAACTCACTAATCGCACTTATCCATAAGTTAAAAAATCGTTCACGATTGCCAGCGAAGATCGAGCGATCCCTCCCCATACTAATTAATTCGTGAATGAACAGATCGCCAAATCCGAAATTAGCTTAATAGAATCTGCAAATTAGGTTTGTTAGTCGTGAAGGTGTTTAATGTATAAAAACGAGCTAAGTATAAAGAAAATTGCAAATACTTATTTGTCTATAACGTATACTTATTCTTTCAATCCTGCAAAGTTTTATTTTTGAATATGTCTACTGACCCGACCCCCCAAAATATTTCATGTCTCAAAACTCTCGCATTGAATATTCTTAAGAATAGCTCCCCGGATGTTATTGCAAAAGATGTTGAAATTCCAGAACTAGATCCATGCTCAAGGTGTAAAGAAGAGCTTTTTTTGTATGAATTTAAAAAACCATTTACGACACTTATCTGTGGCCACATATTTCACCGTCGTTGTCTTGAGGATTATGTAAAAGATCTTCCGCAATGCCCTAAATGTGCAATAGAAATTGAATCTATTGATTATACGCATTATTCTGGCACTTTTGAGCAAAGTACCTCGGACCCAATGCAAATTTCGCCACAAATGACATCCAGTCAAAGCCAGAATACAATAACCCCAGATACAACTCTTATTTTTAACCCTACCTTAGCATATGACCCAACAATATATCCAAATTATGTGGATCTTACCAAAAACAAAGATGCCTCTCAGATTGAATCCAGGAATTGTTCCAAGTGTTCTGAAGTAATCTCCCCGGAAATTTTGAAGCCAGTCATATTATTGCCATGTAACCACGTTGTGCATTTCGAATGTATTGACAATAAGCGTAAGCTATGTCCTGAATGTCCATCTATTGATGATCTGGAAAAAGAAGGATATTATATCTCGCCTATTGTTTTAGCCAACGAAACACCCAAGAAAAAAAGGAAGATGCAAGAAAAAGATACTCATAAAAGTAAATCTAAAAGGGCCACAAAACCCAAAGCAATTATTCGAGAGTTATCTGTTGCTTCAACTAGCAGTGGACCATCAATCAGCGCTCCTTCTGAAACTACCAATATTGGTGAAATTTCTAATCAATTCCATAAACTATACTACGACGTTGATATTGCTGAAAAGAAGGGGGATCAAGAAAACCAGGAGGTAGTTCAATGCTACTTTCGGTTTGGGAGAGCTCTATCAGAACGACTTGCTGTATTGCTCAAGAACAACCCCCCACAGACAGCGCATACAAAGTTAAATAAAGAAGTTAAGGAAAAGCTTCCGGAAAAAACTAAAGATGCTATAGTGCGTAAAAGAACAGATATGGCTAGAAAAATTTATGATATATTTAGTAAAATCGGAGAAGATAAAATCAAGAATATTAGATCTTTTACTGCATCCAGTTTTTCTGATCTAACTAGAGATGAAGTTTCATTTATCATAAAAAATTTTCCTGTGTAATTCTCCGATAATTTAACTAATAAACGTGCCTACTGCGCCACATCGCGTGATATATCATGTGATACTGTTCTGACTCAGAACACCCCCATATGATATAAATTTCAAGTGAATATATATGCGGTTATTATTCTTATTGCATTTCGAAATTCTCGAATAATTAACATTAAATATTCAGTAACCTGTTAGAATAAATTCCACGAAATTTATCTGTATCACCTTACAAGGCTTATGCATAATTTATTTGTGGGCACAAACACAAGTGCCACATATTACAGGTTTGTATTGTATAAAAAAATAGCACGTATAAATTATTTTTTTCTTCTGTTATTAATATATCACAATGAAAGATCAGAATAGCATACCTGCATATACAAATAAAAAAAGTCGAAATTACATCGAAAAGTGGCACATCTTTAGAGGTTGGAATCATGGATGTAAGGTTTGTGACGAATGCAATCATCATTCACACCTATATTGCAAAACATGCAAAAAAGTAGCGAATGGAATATATAAGCGATGTGAATGTGATAATTTTCTACGTAAGGGAATCTCGAATAATTAATTAACAATAAATTAGAATTAGTTATTTGGTAATAACAATAATGATAGTTTAAATTTGTAAATCGTTATGCTGTTAATGAAAAAAACCAGTTTTTCCGTAGTTATCCTGTAGTTACCCCGTAGTTATTATGTATCAGTATCTATTATGTATCAGTATCTATTATGTATCAGTATCTATTATGTATCAGTATATCAGTATCTATTATACTATAATATAAAAAAATCCCATAGTAGTTATCCCGTAGTGTTAATTCAATCAATTAAGTCAATCATATATTGATTGCTTTCAGTGCCGAAGGCAAATTCGCAAAATAAATAAATATTTACTGCGGTAATCATGTGACGTTGTGAACTCGGTTCACATTCTCTGTAATAAATTTTTAAAACCTGTATAACGATAAAGTATCAGAATTTAAGTTTTGTAGATGACGAAAATTCATGTTTTATTTCGATAGAATAAATGATACGTAATAAGATTTTTTGCGTTTTGCTATTTGTAAATTTATAATGCGTTTTATAAATGGTACATGCATAATTTATTTGTATTACCTTATAAGCCTTAATCGTTATCGTTATGCATAATTTATTTATGTTACGGGGCACAGGTACAAACTGCCATTTTTCTAAAATAAGTACTCTAGATACGGGGTATCCTCATTTCTTAAAATCAAATTCGGTCAATCATCTTATGACACATATATTTCTAACTTTATTTTAATCAACTCCGGACCGAAACCTTATCCGCACAACATTTATTATTATTTCAGCCTCTACCGAGGCCAAAATACTTAGATGGCGTGTCAAAATTCGTACAACCTGTATAATATAGATGTTCGAATAACTTGATAAATGTGTTACGGAATAAATTGGAAAGTTATAGAAATTCTGCATGCATAATTTATTTGGTTGTTGCAGACCCCCCTTGCATTACAATAAGATCGATTCCTCAATATGATATTCAAATTTGCATAATTCAAGTTACTACGTACCAGAGCTGATCTTCAAACAGTCGTAAATAAGAAAATGCATGTATTGGTATTAGTACGTATTACGAGTTTATTAACCGAATTTAATATATTGTATAACTAATGTATAACTGATTGCTTACATATTCAAACCTTATACGTACGTAGAGAACTTGTATGCGTGTGTGGTGTGATTGTCGTAAATAATCTTTGAGTGCTCAATTTCTGTTTAAAGATAAATCAAGCAGGTTTGATGTTTGACCGGAAAAAGATATATAGGCTCGAATTAAAAAGTTCGACACATTCTAAAAATGGTTTTTCAGCATGCTCTTTTAATAACGATATTTATCGTGATGAATAACTCGAGTAATTTAAGCACAGAAAAATTGTGAAATGTTCCCAGCGAAAAGGAGTGATGATATATCATAATAAAAGATATGTGAAAATATTTATCTTCTATCTTCTCGAAAAATTACTATTTTTTTTCTAAAAAAATGCCAGAATCCGTTATAGTTGCAGTTGTGATAAAGCATTCGGCTGTTTTAAAAGGGAAGATATTAGAATGGGACACCCTTGAAATTTTAAGAAAATGCAAATTGAGATATGATCACATAGGGTGAGCTTTCTCATTAAGTATCTGTTGAGTTATCGTGTATCTGAAGTTACGCTGTCACTAGGTGTAAAATCGAGTAGAATGAAAGCTCTTCGTGGCCAACTGTTTCAACAGTTGAACGTTCTTCTATTCGTATCCGAAAAGTTTCTTCTATAATATATAGTAAAGCTGGGAGGTGGTTCCCCAGGACGAGTGATGAATAGGATACACGCTAACTATTGAAAGCACTAACCGTAGGCGAAATAGAGATGTGGGAAATACAACACCAGTACCATCTATTGAGGAAGTTGAGCATGCATTGAGTACGAGATCCTCCGTTAGACAACTAAACCGGTCTCCATCTATTATTAGTAGAAGGAGTCAAAGACATTCACCCTATCCCACTTCAACCCATGATAACACTAATATAAACAACCCTGGTATGAGAAATTCTGAGCAAAATATTAGCGTTCCCCCGCCTCCAATTGAAACATTATCTCCCCAACCACCACCTTACTCACGGGGTGAGGATGCTATCGCATCTGGGGTCACAGATGAAGCACAAAATAATAATCAGAGCCAAGACAGTTCTAACTACGAAGTAGCTGTCTCCGGCAGTAATCTAACACCCGATTTGCTAAATTTATCCTTATCACGAAACGAAAGTGATTCCATTATGCACGATATAGGTAGTCAACCACTCTTCCATATGGAATCGATAAATGAAGAGGAAAGATAAAGATCCTCGATCACTTTTCTTTATTTAATAAAAATAGTACAGTTATGACTCTTCGAGTCGCCTTATGGGCCCGCTGTACACATGTGGATATATCGCTAATTTTTGATATTTTTTTTGTTATGTGGTAGCATCATGTGATTTTGGCGCTGAAAAATAAAAAATAATAATGTCTCGGAAAAATGTCTGATATGTCTAGTAATAAAATCGATTGTGTAATACAGATGTTCGATCAACACATCACATGATATCACAGAAGGTCTGCATATATGATGACACGTCATTAGAAAAATATTATATTAACGGTCCACTTTTTATTTACTTGATATTCAAGTTTATCAGTTCGAATGTGCAATAAAAACTTGCCCGGCTTTAATAATCAATGGCCTGCATTAAACTTTATGCGGTGTTACCTTAACTTCTCACGGTCGATTTTTGATAACGAATATCTAGAAAGCCTTTTCTTATTATATATGATACTGCGATAAGAAAAAGCGCAAATGGAACTTAAAAGGGCTATAATAGGGAAGAGTACAACTTTCTTTATCAGTAGTTTTATCGAAATTCATATGTTACTAGGACTTGGAATCTCCGCCATTCCCAGATCGTCAACTTTTTTTCACTTCGTAGTAGCGATCGTCAAATCTAAGGGGGTTTAATTTTACCTAAAAAACGACGAAATGGATTCAGTATTTGGAACTTATAGCCGAACGGGGTTGCTTTACGTGGCTGGATCTGGTATTGTGTTAGGGTAACGCAATTACTAATCATGTAACTTTTTTTTTTTCTGGCAGGTTTTTTAGATCTATCGAATGAGCGGTATAAAAATAAGCAAGTTCCCACCCATAAGATAAGTTAGCAATAACGTTATTTTTGCTCATATATATTTTTTGTGTAAACCGGCTCTGCCAAAAAAGAAACTGTTTAGCATACTCGCAATTTATTTCCAAGGTATACACAATTGTCTTTGCCAGGCTGAGTCAAAAAATACTCACAAGTTCATGTATTAATAGTCTTGCTTTTCTTAACAGTCGTGATGTCCGAATACGTTTTTTCATATGTGAGAAGAGAAACAAAAGTCTTTGATACTAGTCACGAGAACATCCAAGTAATGATCGAAGGAATAAATAGTGATATCGCGATGGTTTTTCTTGTATATAAAAATGATAATCCGGATGAGTCAACGAAGGTAGTTTTTATGAATGCGACGGCTGAAGAAAAAATAGAACCTGTACGTGTCAAGGATAGAGAAAGCTATCTTGTAACTTGGATAAATAACTATGAATTATCTGTGGATGGTAAACGAATTTTTAA